AATCCTTGAAAGGATTGGGGTTGTAGCTTACCGACTTCAGTTGACTCCAGAGTTGGGAAAGATTCATAATGTATTTCATGTTTCTATGCTCAAGAAGTATGTGCGGGATCCGTCACACATTCTTGAGAAACCACCGGTAGAAATCCGAGAAGACCTACATTATACGGTACAGCCGATAAAGATCATAGACCGACAGGTAAAGAAGCTAAGGAACAAAGAGGTGCCGATGGTAAAAGTACTTTGGAAGAGTGATCGTGTCGAGGAGCAAACGTGGGAAGTGGAGACCCTAATGAGGGAACAATATCCATTTCTGTTTGATTAGACACGTGGATTTCGGGGACGAAATCCCAAATAAGGGGGGTAGAACTTGTAACACCGCCCCCGAGTATTTGTACTAAACCAAATTATGTATTGAACCTTGAGAAATGTATAAAAGCATTCTTTACGTGATTGTAAATTTTATCATTTCTATTACGTGAATAGTAGAATTCGCGTGGGGCCCACACCGGAGGTGGGGCCGCTCGAGATTATCGGGACCACATGTTATATTAATCTTGGGCTAGATAATATGAATATGGTGGTAGATATCCTAATTGGGCCATGGCGATGGCATATAGTTGACCGGTTGGTCAAACGGGGCCAAATTATCGGTGTCAGCAATTTATCAGGTAACAGCCCAAAAAGGGGTTCCGGAGATTTCTAAATTAAAGTTGGGGAATCATATTGATTCTAAGGACCAATAAGGATTGGGAACAAGTGTTATATTTTATTTGACCCGATAAAATAAAATATGCTTAAAACAGTCTGGAAAATACAACTTTCGGGACCGATTGTACACTCCGGTACACAAAGGGTTGACCTCCCACATAAGTGGGGGCCAACCCACGTATTTATCTCTGAAAGGGATCAAGGGGAGCCGCACAAGGACATGGGGGAGAGGCATGAAATGATCTGGGATCAAAACTAATAAATGAAATGGGACCCCTCCCATATTATTTGATGAGAAATGCCAAAAAGGCATTCTCAATCAATCCTCAACCCATAGGCTCGGCCAGACCATCATCCTAGAGGAAAGAAGGTCTGAAAACTCCATTTTTACCACCCTAACACGCACCAAGAACAAAGGAGGAAGAAGGAGGGGAAAAGAGAGGAGAAAAGTTGGTTTTGGAGAGGAAAACTTGTGTTTAGCAAGGTAAGGACTCCATTAATCCCATTCCTTGTTCTTCAATACTCTTTTATGATTATCCAATCATATTTCACACCCTAGTAATGTTCTACACGTTGGGATGTGTAGAAAGAGGGGTTGGAAGGTAGTTCTAAGTCCAAGAACGGACTTAGAAGCCAAGTGACCGGTTCGCCGGAAAATAACCTTTTTGAGGTTATTTGTATTACTATGGGTTTTATGATGATAAAACCTTGTTAGTAACTTGTCTAAGGTATTCAAGGAACTTTCACGGAGTTGAAAAGGTCGCCGGAGTTGTCGCCGGAGTTCGTTGAAGTTCGCCGGAGTTTCGTCGGAGCTAAATCGGGAAGGCTAGAACTTCATAAGCTTCATTAAGGTGAGAAGACGGCTTTATGCTTTATAACTTTTGCGTTAGGCATGAGATTACCTAAAGTAATCAAGGATATGTTTTGTGGAATGATTAAAGATAATCAAGTATTTGCTTATGCCATGATTTTGCATAAAACATAGTTGAAAAGCATGTTATGTAGGTTTGGTGATTAAAAATGTGATAACATATTTTGTGTGATGATCCAGGGATCCAAAATGGTATTTTTGGATCAAGGACATCAAGAAGTATATGTGTATAAAATTTCAAGTTAATCGGACTCCGTTTGGGGGGTCAAAAGGGGCGTTGACCGCCAAGTCAACTGCCATACCCGATCGGGTATTGACACATACCCGACCGGGTATTTGTTGAAAATCAGCTTTGTGGACTACTGTCTCCTGTACTCGACCGAGTATGGGTTAATACTCGATCGAGTATTGGGTTATGCTCAAAACGGGCAGTTTTGAGTAGGTTAACGTGGGCCGTTCGGGTGAGACCCGCCCACGTTGGATCCTAAGGATTGTTATATGACTATAGGGCTAGGAATTGTCCATAGTTAAAGTAATGAAAGGTTAGCCATATCCAGGTTAGGATTTGGTAGAGAATAGACTGGGGATTGAGTGCCCTTGGACGGTAAATGATCCAGAATACTCCAGGTGGGGTCGAGTACCCTTGGACGGTAAATGATCTAGAATACTCCAGGTGGGGTCGAGTACCCTTGGACGGTAAATGATCCAGAATACTCCAGGTGGGGCCGAGTACCCTTGGACGGTAAATGATCTTAAATACTCCAGGATGGGTTGAGTGCCTTGGACGGTAAATGATCCTAAAACACTCGGTAGTATGAATCGAAGGTAGACTATAGCTTGTGAGCTAGGTAACCGGGAAAGGAGTGAGAAAAGTCAGGCAAGAACTTTATCTCTAAAAGACTCTTTAAGGTAAATGACCTACGGGTTGAGTATTTTACGAGTATATATACAGTATGTATCATCGGGTGGATGAGGGACATCTATATGTATATATCACCCTATTTTTGGGTCTCGTGTCTGAAACATTAGTTATTCTTCATATATCCTGCTTGTCACTAGTACTTCTATGGAGTACTGACCCCTCCGGGGGCCCTCACATTTTTCAGGTTGAGGCTAGAGTCCTACTACCTGCACCTTTGCCTAGGGTGACTGATCGGGAAGGAAGACGTGGTTCGTGCTTCCATTCTTATTTCAAATGTATAAACCGCTCATGGATTTTTGAACAATATTTTCATTAAAACAGTTGGGGGCCTGCGTGCCCGTGTTTGCCACGTGTGGCTAAGTATCAATCATTTTATTATTTTCCGCATTTGATTGTTTATGATATTGATGTTGATTGTATGTGTTTACTAATCGGTTTGGCAATAGAATAAATCGGACGCCTTGTACAACTCAATAGGGATGAACTGTTGTTGTTCTTATCGGGTTGTACGGCGGTTGTCTACGTGGCTCGGATGCGGTCCGGGGCGTGACATAATCATTTCTACACACATTGTATTCGGCCCAATAACGGTCCAATTGTAAATGGGTCTCCCAAGCCCAAGGCTTGGGAGCCCGGCCCGTATTTTTCCTATAAATACTTCCTCTGGAGGTAGTTGTAGGGGTTACAAAATCATTCTATTGAAGCATTTACTTGCACTTCTCTCTCTATCTCTCACTTCTCTCTAGATATATACTCTATCAAAAATATATTTCAAATATAATTTTTTTCATAAATCAGCACAATTAGGCAATGCAGCCACTTTAGCCTTAACTTCATAAATTTCAGCAGAATCATCCGATTCAGTCAATTTCAGTGTTACCAAACAGGCTCATAATGTAAGCTCCCTAATTGTCTACTAGCTCTGTCCCTTAAAACTTTGCCAAAGTTGACTGACACGCAGAATAATAAAGTAAAAATTGTGTGCTAGAACATCTCGGGGTAATTGGTTGAAGTAAAGTCTATCCTATGTGGCATAGGAGAGAGATAGAGATAAGATGATTATTTTAATTTAACATAGAAAAAGTGGCGTGTGTGAAAAAATGAAATGGAAGAGAGAGATAGAGGTAAATCGTAGACAATGTCTATGACATTGGATGTTTTTACTTGGATTGTAATTCGTTCCAGACCAGACCAGACCAGACCAGACCAGTTCAGACCAGACCAGACTAGACCAGACTTGGATAGTTATAAAAATACAAAGAAACCAGACCAGACCAGACCAGTTTAGACCAGACCAGACCAGATCAGACCAGAACAGACCATCAAATTACAGTCCAAGTAAAAACATCCAGTGTCCACAAATATACTTTACACGGAAATCAAGAAACACAAATAGATGAAAAGTGAGTGAGAAGTGATAAAAAAATGAAAATTAAAATAAACATCCGCTCATAGAGATGCTCCTAGCTCCGAGAGATCCAATTTGAGAGAACCTCGCAACGGCCAACGGGTCCTGTTCGCCTGAGTTTCGGGTCGGCCAAAGAGTGCACTACTCTGGTGAGTGGTGACTCCCACTGGACCGGCAGCGTGAAATATATCGGGCCAGTGGCAGGGCCGACTAGAGCAATTATGAGGCCCTAGACGGTAATGTAGAAATTTTGTTTTAAATATGTTTTATTTAACCCAATGATATAAAAAATAGCAATTAAATATATGTAAATTACATATAAAATACATCATATACTATTAACACAGTGAGAATATTCTTCGAAATCAGAAGATCAAAGTTGATGAAAAAATACAAAGAGCCCTAGAGGGAGAAGGTTTTGTGCTTACGTACAACATACCGATCGATAGAGCCGGAAAGTGATTTCATGACCAAATCATTTCTTAATTTTTGTCTTTGTACATCTTGATTCATATTTTGTTTTCCAATCATCACAAAACATAAAATTTCATTCAAAATAATACTATCACTAAATATAAGTTAATGGTTCATAGATATAAATTTAATTCACTAAATTTAATCAAATATAAAAATTATAAGTATGTTCAATATTTCGATGAATCAAAATAACAAATTACAATTTCAATTATTCAATAAGCATTCAAATATATTTAGAATACTCATTATGCTAAATCCCTAGCCCTACTGCCCTGGCCAACAAAGAAAAAAAAGGAAAAAGGGGCAAATAAGCCCACATACTAACCAAAAAGGTCAAATAAGCTCTTGTATAAGAGACTTTGTCCGGCCGTCGCCATTTGGGGCAGTTCCCGGTGGAATGTTTTGATGAAGTTTTTTGAGAATCTTATTCATTAAATCTTGTTTACTCATACCAAATTTCAGCTAACAATTCAACGGGGAAGATATTCAAATAAATTCTTGAAGATAACTGCGCTTTTAACTGCGCAGTTATCTTCAAGAATTCATTTGAATGTCTTCACGATTGAATTTTTATGTGAAATTTGGTATACGTAAACTAGACATAATGAATAAGATTCTAAAAAAAATCATCAAAAAATAAGATTCCACCGAGGCCTGGCCGGTGGAAGGTTACACGGGAACGTGGATCGGAGTTGATTGGGACAACGGGAACGGCAAACACGATGGCTGCCATAACGGGCTGCGATACTTCGAAGCTTCCAGCAGTACATCGGCATCGTTTGTACGACCGAACAATCTCAGTGCCGGCATTTCACTCTTGCACGCCGTCGAGCTCCGGTATGGGACGGCTTCTAGTAAAGAAGATGAAGGTAATTATAACTCTTACCTTTGCTATTCTGTAATGAAGTATTGCAACATTTGTGGAGAGGAGAGTTCACGAGTTACACACTCAAGTAAACACTTCGTTGACATTTTTGTAACAGAACGAGGGAGATTAAATCATGGGTACCAGAAACAGAGGAAAGATTTTCTTTCCAGATGAATTGAATTTACTTGGTTTTATAGGTAAAACACTTTTATTACTACTTAAAAAGAATAGGGAAATGTAAAAAAATGCTAAGAAAACTGGTCATTTTATGCAGAACTTGAAGGTAAACGTGAAAACTTATACTTTCGGTATAAGTTTAGCCATCAAAAGTCAAAGTACGATCATTGGGAGATGGTAGAACTATATACTACGGAGTATTTAGTAGAAATGTTGTGTGTAGATCAAACGAGTTCAAGTAAATATGTAAAAAAGATGTGAAAATTTGGTTTAAAAAATAACATTGTTTCAGCACTTTAGCCAGATTACTTGCCTGAAAATATGCTCGTATTACTTTTGGTATAAGTTTAGCCATCAATTTGTTATATCAAAAGTTGTATTAGCTTATATCCTATAATTGGTACTGGTACGTAGTATTTTTTAAAGCCATTTTACAAAAAATGATTTCTTTGGACAAGTTTTTTATGTTTCTCCCCGCATTTCCCTTCTATTTTCTCCCTAGTTTTTGGGTTCCAAATGGGCCCTTTAAAAATGTTGAAGCATATGGATAACATTGTCAATTTGTCGTAGAGCACGGGTTCTCATGTTTATGTATAACTCTCCATTTGTACATACTTTCACAAACAAACACATTTCAAATAGTTGTTATTTAATTATTCATATATATATTAATCGTTTCTTGATCCCCTCCCCAAATATTGTATATTTTTGTTTTCCTCTGATGTAGATGAGATGTATGTTTTCTCTGCAAGCAACAAGCGAGTAACGGTCCAGCTTCTCGGTAAAGAAGAAATTCAGAATAAACTGAGTCATTTTGAGGAATTGAAAAGTGCATCATTGTCATATCTAGGAGTTGGCTATGCTGGAGATCCACACCACATTACTACAGCTATACCTAGTAAATGAATTGCTTCTCTAATTGAATTTTTCCCCTGAACTCATGCACATCATTTAAGTGTAAATTATGAAACTCACTATTGCACGACCTTTTTTACATCAACTGTTTTTACAGATGTGAAGGAGCTTGTTTTGACTGGAAACCTGCTCTCTGAGTGGGAGGTACATGTTTAACAATTGAATGTCATATTTTTCTCCATGTTCTGCCTTGAATTTCAATTCATTTTGTCATTACAGTGTTAATATTTTTACGAGGCTAAAATGCTTTGGGTATTATTTAAACTTGTAGACTCTGTTAGAGATATTATAGGAAACGAAACTTCCTACTCTTGTTAGCTTAGGAAACAAAGTGGTATGGATGAGGTTAGTCCATACTCAATACAGATTTAGATCATGGAATCCCCTTTCGTATAGCAACCTTTGGGATATGACTGCCTAATTATGCAGTCAAACGAAAGTAACTATAATTGTGATCAGTTTATTGAGTCTCATTTTTTATTTAAGAAATTTAAGAGACATTGCAATTTCTTTCTGCATTGTTGGTGAAAGATTGAAGATTTTGGAGACAGTAACATATATCAAGAAAATAATATTTTCGAGGGCAGGGGACAATGTACTTTATTAATATTTATAAATAAGTAAAATATACCTATCACATGCAAAAATAATTGTATTTAATGTAAATTTAAACTCCCTCCTTATTCTTTTGTTTGCTACACTTTCCTTTTTAAGAAGTATTTTAGTGTTTGCAACAATTTCCCTTTTTGATAAGTTTTTCAGCTAAAGATACTCAGTTACCCTTACCTTTTCATCTTCTCTTTCATACTTTTCCACCATTTTTCCTACTTTTTCTACAACATTCACTACCCCTACTATTTTACCCTTAACTTTTTGAAAAGCTTAATATAAAAATAAAAGAATACGGAGGGATTATTAATATTCCGAAATTTGGGGCGCATGCCTGATGCCCCCAGGTCCTAATGTGGCTCTACTGTTGCTTGGACACACCATTCGTGCTAATTATTGTCGGTCGTGTCTGAGATGAAACCAATTTTTTTGTTGCCAATTTCATGGAGTTCCTGTCTGTCTTTGTTGCCTTTTGTCTCGCACCTTATAGACTTATAGTCAAAGAAGTATTGATGCATTAGAGCCGCTCTTTTTCACATAGCTTTTGTAGGTCTATAATCGAGTTTAAGAGATCTGAAAGCTGACTGTTTTATGTTTGACCTGTCTCTAAAAGTAATGTAGCTTGGCACGAATGAAGTATAGCTTTTATCTGTTTATTTTGGCTTATTCGGATAGAAATAAATATGCTATTTTTCAATAAGAACCAATCCTCTTAGTCAAATTCATCTTTGTTTGTTGACCTATAACAATACAAATGACTGAACCATATTGTGTGTATTTTAATTACTAGGATGTTGATTTAATCTGCACAGCGTTAGATGCTCTTGAAGTTCTGAACCTATCCCGCAACATTATGTCACATGATATATGTGGAATGCCCATGCTAAATGCTATACGAGTTTTAGTTTTGAACCATACTGGAATCAGCTGGAAGCATGTAAGCGTTCTGTTTAGTTCATTATCTTAATTAAATTTTGGTAAACATATTCTACTTATAACACATCAAATTTAACAGGTTGAGATTCTTAAAGATTCCCTTCCTATGATAGAAGAGTTACATTTGGTTGGGAATAAATTGAAAGAAATAACGGTACTCTCCGCTGTAATATTTCGTTACTATTATTGTTACTCTTATAGTTCATATCGTACATTTTCCCTGTATATATGTATGTATGTATTTATGACTGTATGTATATGTGTACATATGTATATGTGTGGCATATATTCACTAAGTTGACAACGGAGACCGGAATGGACAATCTGTTCTGTAATGCATACTGCGTAAACGATCAAAAGATAAAATCTTCGTCGTGAGTCATAAAAATTTTTGGTAAGCTTTTCTCTAATAAACGTGTTTTTTTGTCTATCCAGCCATCATCTTCAGCTTTTGTTCAGGGGTTCAAGTTTCTTCATCTCCTTAATCTGGATTGTAACTGTATAGATTCGTGAGGTGAAATTTTGAAGCTTTCACAACTTGAAAGGTTGTACCAGACTTGAACGTTTTTCTGTTCATGTAAAATTTTCAACTTTTACTTCTTTTGGTTCCCATTCTCACTACTTTTACTGCATTTAGTTTGGAGCAGCTTTTTTTGAATCACAATAATATAAGCTGCATCTGGTACCCTGATAATGTCACTATGTATGAAACCCTGAATGTTGATGAATGTATTGCCAAAAGCTCTAGGCCTTTCAAGAATCTGCATTCCCTTCTTCTTGGTAAATACTGAAAAATATTACCATAGCATCTTTCTATGACAAGTTTTTGCTGTCAATCATTCCTGCTATTGCTTTAGCTGGTTGTTTTTTTGCTTTTTAATCTTTAAATCTATAGGTAACAACAACATTAAAGAACTGGAATCCGTTGATTCACTGAATAGTTTCCCGGATTTGTTGGTAATCTTTTATCTTAATATAAAGTCATAATGAATTTCGAAGTCTCCAATTCAAAATTTCAACTGTATTCCCAGACACTTCATGTTAATATGTTATGCACATTTGATCAAAAGATGAAACTCATACTTAGCTGCAATATATGAGTTTACAAATCTATTCGAGGATTTAAATGCCTTTTTTTACCTAGGACGTCAGACTTTCAGAGAATCCAGTAGCAGATCCAGAAAAGTCCCGATATGTTTTGGTTGCACGTCTAGCAGGTGTAAAAATATTAAATGGAAGCGAGGTAACTTCTGGATACTGTGGAAGTCGTCACTGTTGATGTTTAAAAATCATTCTATAAAAAATGATTATGTATATATTTTCATTGACTTTCTGTAGGTTAGTACTCGGGAACGGAAGGAATCAGAGATTCGGTTGGCCTTCTTTTCTCTTTTTTTTCCCTGTAATGATGGACCCATCTACTCGTTGAGATGGGGTTTTATTCAGCAATATCCATGCAGGTATGTCCGAGTGGTCATGTCTAAGAGTAGGGAATTTCCACAAGAAATTGAGCGACTTCACCCAAGGTATGTAACATTTTTTTCTTCTGTAATTATCTCAACAAGTACTTACAGACCAATGTCGATATTCTATCATGTTTAGGCAGTTGCAAGTAAATGTAAATCTCTTATGTGCTTTGGGCGTGTGGCCCTTTTGTTGTTTTGGTTCTTGGTATCTGGCCCTTCTACCAATTGATTCATTTATATCTTTTAAAAAACTATTTATTTGGTTATTTCTGACAACTTACTCATGGTAAGTCCATCCCTCCCAAATAATAAGCCATATTTGGTCAGGGTACAACTTTTTAGTTTTGGTGAGGTACAATTCTTTAAAGCCATTGAACCCCACCTACTTTTTTAGTTATAATTTTTTTTTTGTTTGAGTAGAAGCAGAAGTTGGAGTGTTTGGGTGAAAGTGCAGAAGTGATTCTGGTGCTCTAATTTACTTCTAGAATCAGTTTTTTTAGAAGTTGGGGGTGACCAGCTTCTGAAAACTGATTCTGATTCTGCTTTAAAAAAGAAGCGGAAGCAGAATCAGTTTCAAACACCCCCTAAATTTATCATATTGAGCTTGTTTGTAACTTTTATTGGAAAAAAAGAGTTTTTTTCCGGATTAATGTCAATTAATTAATTATTTACGAAAATAAGGTTGGGTTAAAAGTTATTACTGATATACTGTTGGGATTAACCCTGGTTGGGTAAAGTCGACAAACAGTTTGGCGACTTATAAGTCGCCATCCGGTTTGACGACTTATAAGTCGCCAAACAGTTTGGCGACTTTGCCCTTCCCAAAAACGTTAACACCCAAACTCTTTGTTTCAGACCGGCGCCTCTTAGAGGCCAACATGGGCCGGTCGGGTGACCCCCGGTGCGAAAATTTTTCCGTTTTTTCGTCCTAAATGGATCCCGATTGTTGCAATCCACCGTTTAACGACTTACAGAACACATACAAAACACAATTTGGTAGAAATGATACAAAGCGACACACCTGCTCAAAAATACAGTATAAAAATAGTGTGAAGACATCCGATATGCATAACCAAACACATCAACACTTCATAAACAAATGACAAAATACTAATAACACAATATCCATTAGTTTGAAGGTGAAAATATGTAAAAAAGTGAAGTATTTCTACAACATTTGGTGTACATGTGTAAGTCGAATAATAGAGAGACTCAAGCTTGGAGAGACTACAAGTTTTCATGGTCTTCTTGATCGTCTTCATCATGGAGTTGTGGCTGTTGACACATACGCCTACGCCGCTGTCGTGGTTGAAGAACAACTCTATCCCACTGAGTCTGAGATGTAGGACCCACCGTTGCTGTTGATGATGTCGATGCCATATAATCTTGGGAGGGGGTCATATGTATAAGATGTCCATAGTCCACTCGGTCCAACACATCTGAACACAACGAAACGATGTCTGTCAGAACCTGACCGTACATGTCCACGTCATGTGTGTCATTAACTGTGGTAGTCGCTCGCTCATGTATACGCTGCAATGCCCGTGTCTGAAATGTGAAACATGAATTACAATTATTTTGAAATAAATGCAAATCTTATCTAAAGAACATGAAATACTTTTGTAATTACTAATTAGTACCACACTCACCGTCAAGTGTAAAGCCATGGAACTAATCTGGTAATGGTGAGTAGGGAGTCTGAAAGGAGAGACAAACAGCCGCGTGATGTTGTAATATCATCTCAAGTATTCTACAGAAACAGATGGGACTAATGTAGGCGTACCAATCACAACAAGCTCTGCTCGCCTCTCCCATACAATGACCTATCCAACATGCCTGAGCGACCAGTCCTCTGTAGGCTTCCCACGCCTATCCAGCTTATGGAGATCTACACATGTGTCGACAGGTGCTGGAATGACCTGGTCATAGCCAATCTGCCTCAGTACACGATCTGGCAAATGAAGCTCAACAATGTCAAAAAAGATCAACGGGACACGTGCTCGCTTATATCATAGTGCTCTCATCCTGCCGGGGGCAACTCCTCTAACATCTGGGCTGTATATGGCATCCATGTAATCTGTTTGAAAAAGAAATAAAATTAGTCTTACTGCTTTTCATATGATAGGTAATGTTATATGATGTACAACAAACCTGATCATCCGGCATGCGATCAAATGCATCTCTATAGAAACCGAGTCCAGTAGTCGATGATGTGCGGCAAAGATCTGCAAATAACCATCTAACCATTCATGTAGTACATATTAATATAAATATAATTCATATACTCCCTCCGTCCCATAAAATTCTTCCCACTTTCCTTTTTGGGCCGTCCCAAAAAATTCTTCCCACTTACCATTTTTGAATAATTTGTGTGGTTCACATTCATTTCACATTTTTCTTACACAATTACAACCACACATTTCCACTTTATTCCACTTTCTTAATCTCCGTGCCAAGTCAAAGTGGGAAAAATTTTATGGGACGGAGGGAGTAATTATTTAGAACATACAATAACATAAATATAATCTTGTAAAACATACCTACACCCCATCATGTTTTAAATAACGCCCTCTCACATTGGGGTGCCGGTATGTTTTACAACATTATATTTATGTTATTGTATGTTCTAAATAATTATATGAATTATATTTATATTAATATGTACTACATGAATGGTTAGATGGTTATTTGTTGATCTTTGCCGCACATCATCGGCTACTCGACTCGGTTTCTATAGAGATGCATTTGATCGCATGTCGGATGATCAGGTTTGTTGTACATCATATAACATTACCTATCATATGAAAAGCAGTAAGACTAATTTTATTTCCTTTTCAAACAGATTACATGGATGCCATATACAACCCAGATGTTAGAGGAGTTGCCTCCGGCAGGACGAGAGCACTATGATATATGGCGAGCACGTGTCCCGTTGATCATTGTTGAGCTTCATTTTCCAGATCGTGTACTGAGACAGTTTGGCTATGAGCAGGTCATTCCAGCACCCGTCGACACATGTGTAGATCTCCATAAGCTGGATAGGAGTGGGAAGCCTATCCAGCTTATGTTATATACGTCACTGTATGGGAGAGGTGTGTAGAGCTTGTTGTGATTGGGACGCCTACATTAGTCCCATCTGTTTCTGTAGAATACATGAGATGGTATTACAACATCACACGGCTGTTTGTCTATCCTTCTTTCAGACTCTCTACTCACCATTAACAGCCTAGTATGGCTTGACGGTGAGTGTGGTACTAATTACAAAAGTATTTCATGTTCTTTATATAAGGTTTATTTCAAAATAATTTTAATTCTATGTTTCACATTTCAGACACGGGCATTGCGACGATACATGAGCGAGCAACTACCGCAGTTAATGACACACATGACGTGGACAGGTTCTGACGGGCATCGCTCCGTTGTGTTCAAATGGGTTGGACCGAATGGACTATGAACATCTTATACATATGACCCCCTCTCAGGATTATATGGCATCGACATCATCAGCAGCGGTGGGTTCTACATCTCAGACTCAGCGGGACAAAGTTGTTCTTCAACCACGACAGCGGCGTATGCGTCAACAGCCACAACTCCACGATCAAGAAGACCATGAAAACTTGCAGTCTCTCTATTATTGGACTTACACATGTACACCAAATGTTGTAGAAACACTTCACTTTTTTACATATTTTCACCTTCAAACTAATGGATATTTTGTTTATGAAGTGTTGATGTGTTTGGTTATGCATATCGGATGTCTACACACTGTTTTTATACTGCATTTTTGAGCAGGTGTGTCGCTTTGTATCATTTCTACCAAATTGTGTTTTTTATGTGTTTCGTAAGTCGTTAAATGGTGAATTGCAACAATCGGGATCCATTTAGGACGGAAAACTGTTTGGCGACTTTACCCGACCAGGATTAATACCAGCAGTATATCGGTAATAACTTTTAACCCAACCCTATTTTCGTAATTAATTGACATTAATCCGGAAAAAAACTCAACGGATTTAGATTTTCTAATATGCATGGTCGTGTATATATATATGATAATAGATTTGCTGAGCTTAAAAGATAACCATGGAATAGAGGATGAAAAACTGCAGAGTGGACCAACTGGGCCCCAGAAAATGGCAACCGGACTTATTTGTAATAGATCTTTTACTGTCTTCTGTTTATGTATCAGCTTGCTATGGCGTATATGTGTTCTTGCGTTCTGAATGTGGTTTGAACTTACCCTGCAGCAATTACCATGAAGTGTGTTGGAGCATCAATCTGTGAAAAGCCCCCACTTACCAAGAAGTTGCCCGCGGTATTACCCCAAACGTCATCGTGTATCCTATCATCTTGCTTTTATTTGGTATTGACATTTACGCTTGAGTTAGGTTGGGAAGCTGAAGAACCTATGTGAGAGTTTCTTCAACCTAAGATCTATCAAACCCAAATTATTTCTTCATGAAGTGGTACATACTGAACTACTCGTATACACTCGCTTGCATAAAAATGATATCCCACACTTCATTGCCTAGATGATGACACAGCAAATTTGAATGATGCTGGATTTGGGAATGAGTTGATCATTATCTCAAAACTAGAAAGAATCAGAACATCTCAGACTGGTTTCATAGAGCTTTCTACTCAAAATTCTGGTGTAGTTATGTCTGTGTGCGTGTGAACCCAAACTCGGAAAACATAAAAAAGCTAAGGACTAAAACAACATCCCAGCCAATCAAGATCAAGCTGAGGGCTAAAATCTTGGCCCCTCATCCTGCAAATTTGCAAAAAGTTAAAATGAGGTAATGAATAGTATAGAAGGGAATATTTAAAGCATAAAAGAGGAGATGAAAAATATAAGAATTATTGTATATTTTTAAATGAAAAACTTATTACAAAGAAAGTGATGCAAATATGAATAGAGAATAAAAAAGAAAGTGACGGAAATATACAAATACAGATGGCCGGAGCATCTCCTCTACTCCAATATTTTGCGATTTTTTATTTGATACTTCTAAAAGTGTTTTTTTTATCTCTCATTACAGCAAATGCATGTCTAGTTATTTACTCACTCCGGTCGTCCATGGGACTTTGACATCTTTCCTTTTTTGTTTGTCCCAAAAAACTTTAACACTTTCCCATTAAAGCAACTATTTTGTGATTCTATCTCCGCAGCGGAACAAAGATCCATATTAGTCCAGGCGGAGAGAGATATTGCTCCGGGGGAAGAGGCAGCACCCAAGGTCCTTTGACTGCTCTACTTCGCCGGCGCCGGATTTATTTGCACAGCTGCCATTAACAAGTGGAGAGAGCTGGAGAGAAAGCAGAAGCTGAGACAACAAGGTGAGTTGTTGGAAAGGCCTTCCAGTGTTGTACAACCGGCACCAGAATAATCCAATTTCTGATTTGAAATGGTGGAAGAATACTCAAACTCCAATGGAGTTTTACTTAAATGGTAGTTGTATGTTTTGATTTTGAGTTTGAATACACTATCATTTTGATGCTGATAATTGATCTTTAATATTGTTGCATTCATTCAAATAGTTGAATCTGTACGAATTTTATCTTTAAATTAGGATAAATGATAAGCAATTTCATGGTTAAAAAAAACTATTTTGTGGTTCTACTCATTTTTCTATGATTTAATATCTCACTTTTTACTTTCACGTTTCTTGTATCAATAAAGTATGGCTAGGACATATATATTCCCTTTGGTGTCGCTTAAATTGATTTATTATCTCTTTCAGTCTAGCAAATGAATGTCTAGTTATTTACAAGTTAATATCTCATAGGGAGTACTTTTTTACTTTCACGTTTCTTGTATCAATAAAGTATTCCTAGGTTTATATAATCCATCTGGCATCACAAAATTGGTTTAATCTACTAAAATTTTAGAAAATTATAACTGAAAGCGTTAAATTGGCTGAAAGTTCTCAATGAAAAAAAAAACATTTTACTATAAATAGAGTACATATATATATAGTGCCTTCTAAGGAAATCATGTTTAACGTGAAAATTGTGAGAACAACACTTTTAACTCAATGTGATAAATTATAATGTTCGTATGTTACATTTTTTCGTGTTGATGATACATATATGAATTTGTTACCGTAGTTATTTGATGTTGTCATGTTTTGAAAAATCATAACGTACAAATGTTATATTGTATCACATTGAAATAAAAGAAATGTTGTCATGCTTCTCACATTTAGAATGGTTCGCATTTGATTGTATATAAAATAAGCTCACAAGTAGAGATGACAATTCCGGCCGACTCGTTGGATACCCACACCGAACCAGTTTGGTCAAAATGGGGAAAATCGATTTGACTGGGGAACGGGTACGGGGCAGGGAATACCCGGTTTTTTTAAATGGATAATGGCGCGGTTATGATTCTATACTAACCCGCCCCATTATCCTCCTCGAAACCGCCCCGTTCACTAATGGTGCATGCACCTGCACCATTACCCGATTTGTAACATTATTAATAAATTATAACTCTTTATATATAAGAATAATAAGTATATATACTAAATTGTGTACGCTAAATCGTATATACTACGTATCATATAAGTATATAAACAATATTGGGAAAAGTACGGAAAAGGTACTTGTGGTTGGGCCCGTTTTCTGATAGAGTCATGTGTTTCATTCTTTATCAAAGTAGTTCATGTGTTTGAATTCCGTTATCAACAAGAGGGTCACGCCTGATGGATAAGTGCACCCGGGGGTATATATCCGAGGGGTTACTGCGGGGAATAACTAGAGAGAAGTCAGAGCAAAAGTGAGAGAGAGAGAATATATATTGCTGAGAATGCGTTGAGTCTATTGAGCCTGAATTACAAATGAGGAAAGGAGTGCTATTTATAGTAGTAATAAATGCCAGATATGGACACGTGTCATCATTCTGGTGGTCGAGGGGTCACTTCAGCGGGGTGGCACTGGCACTCGCATGTGGCCGCATTAAATGCGGTGGTTGGATGTGACGTTTGTACTTGGTACGTTGATCCGGTGCATGTGGGTGGGAGATTCTGTCGAGGAGATGCCCTCGGCCGTAGATGATTGGCCGAAGGCTCTTCATACCGGGGGCCCCTAGGTGCCGAGGGCTACTGTTTCGCTGCTTTCTCCCGGACACTCTGAGTACTTTAAAGAAGCTGTATTGTGCGTTTATTAGCCTTCGGCCAGGGGGCCGAAGGCACACCAGTGTTCGTCGCGGGCTGTTTGGCACTTGGGGTGCCATAATTTGGGCCTGCCATGCTTCCTGGGCCCGTTGGGCCTTTGCTACAGTAGTGGGAGTCTATGGGACGGGGGTTCCTGGGCCATATACTCCATCAGGAGTCCCTCACACCTTTTGCCGAAAGGTACTTGAGGGAAAAGGAGTAATTGCGGTTGTCCTCTGATGCTGCCTTGAGAGATCTGCATTTGCACATGATTCTGCCGGGGGCAGCCCTTGAGTCCATGGGCGGAGCTAGGGGTGGGCCAACCTAGGCCACGGCCCACCCCAAATTTTAAAAATGACTTAATTTTTAAGGTAAAAAATTTCTATAAATTTTTTTCTAAAAATATCTTTGTACCGGCCCAGTCCAGCCCAGTGTCCTGGCTCCGCCCCTGCTTGAGTCCCCCATACCTTGGGACAGAAGGGTTATGTTGCTGTTTTGGGGAGATTTTGCATTTTTGTGATTTTTCCCGAAGGGGTCCTCCAGTCCCCCACTCCTTGAGGCACATGTAATGTGGTCAAGAGGAGTAGAATAGTGCCCGCTGTCGCATAGGGCCGAAGGTTGACACTTTTCGTTTCATTTTGGGGGGATGCCTCGTTAAAAACCTCATTAGGAAAAACCATGTGGGAAAAAAATCCTGATGAGGGGAAAAGAGTGCGCCGAATTCCCCCAATGATGACTCGAAAAGGTGAAACCTTGGTCTGAGATGAAGGACAGAGTTTATGCCGAAGGCTACCCTTGTTCTGAGGGCGCATGGTTCGACTTATCGAGGGCGCTTTGTAAATATCCTGGGAGATGCCGAAGGGGAGTCCCTCAATCCACGGGGTTGAGGGCGTGATGAATGTAGGTGGTAGTTGCTGTGTTGCCGAGGAGGTTCTCTAGCTAACGACAAGCTGGGGATGAGGGCACCCGAGGGCCCCATTGTTGCATGTCGAAGGCTGTTCACCTAAGAAGGGGGTTAAATTCGATGTTCCTGAGGGGTCTCCTTGTTGCGTGTCCGGGGGGCAGTTGATGAAGGCTCCCGAGGGGCGTACCCGTTGTTAAGCCGTGGGCTTTTGATTGAGAAAGCCCGAAGGCACTTGTAATGTTGTATGAGGGGTACCGGCTGTGAGCGCCTTTTTGATTTCAAAATACAGCCGTTGTAATCAGACCGTTGGCACATGGAACGTTTAAAAAGTAGCCGTTGGAGAGGACTTCCACGTGGAGCGTGGATGTTGGCTAGCTTTGGGCGGGCATCACGGATTGGCGGAAGGGGCGGCGTGTAATGATGGCTCTCGTAACCGGAGGCTCGGTTTTGGGCCCAAGCCCGGATCTGGGTGCCTATAAATACCCCAAGGCCAAGCCATTCTCCTTGTGCGATTCCCTTGTTGTAGCGAAGCTCTGGCGATTTTTCTAGAGAGATAAACACCCGCCTTTGATCAAATCATTTTCTCTGAGGTCAGTTCTTCACCCGTTCGTTGCCATATTAGTAAGTTTAGCTTTGCGGCCTTAGATTAAGTGTTATAGCCTTATAACCCTCGTCCCCCATAACCCTCGTCCCAAGACATGTCGAGGGAGGAGTCGGTGGAGGTGGAAAGCGTCTCAGACGCGGAGTCTTCCAGTGGACAGCCTTCGGTAAGCGGTGATGCTGCCGTAGCCATGGAAGTGTAAAAAGACCTCGTGGCCGAAACCGAGGCTGAGGATTTTGAGCAGGTGTGCGAAGATGAGGAGCTAGCCATCGCCTTCCAAGTAGCTGAGGAGGAGGCACAGAAGGAGGACAGGATGAAAGTCACAGTTGCTGTCCTTCCCGCACGTAACGCTGGGAAACCAGCACCTCCCGGCCTCTAGACCCGATGCTTATTAGTGTGGCTCCCGGGAAAAAGAAGAAGACGAGGGCTGCTCCGAAGAAGAAACAAGCAGCCGTGGACGCCGGACGGCCAGTAGGTATTCCCGAGGGCCACTCCTTCCTGAACACCGCCGCCCTAGAATTGAAGACGAGTGCATCCCCGGCTGAATACCAGACCACACAAATTCTGGTTGGCCCTTCGGCACGTGTGGTGGAGCCAGGGGCCGATGATCTGTTACGATATGCACCCGAGGGCTGCTTCACCGTTCACACTCTGTCAGTGGAGATGGGGCTCCGCTTTCCGCTCCACCCTTTTCTGCTGGAGTATCTAAGGTTCGTGGGGCTGGCCCCCTGTCAGCTGACACCCAACAACCACTCTTATGTGTCCGGATATCTCTCCTTGTGCCGGAGCCGAGGGGTTCCACCTACCCTCGACCAATTTTTTATGCCCTTCAACTTGTGCTGGGGGGGCCATTCGAACGCTGAGGGCTTTGCCAACTTGCAGCAAGTCCCGGAGTTCAGGCTTTTTGATGACGTGCCTTCGTCCCACAAGGGATGGAAAGATAAGTATTGTTACATACGCCTGGAGGAGAACCCCTTTCCGACCCCGCTTCGCAACAGATTTCGGCGTCATCTGAAGGTAGGGAGTGCGGCCCTGGAGAAGAACGGCAGGATACTTGCCAAGAAGCCGGAGGGGTCCGATAAGCACGTGAAGATTAAAGACGTCACCCTCCCGGATGAACTGTTCAAGTTTGGCTTCCGGAAATATCGGCCGATAGGCTCGGAGGATGAAAGATACCCTCCGATAGATCGCGTATTCGAGAGAACCGAAGGTGATTACCGAAGGGGCATATGTTTTGTACTTGGAGGATTTTTCCCTTGTTTTTTCTTTTGTTCAATCCATGTCCCTGCAATTGATCCCCTTCAGCCTAATCATTTTGTGTCTTGTCTTTGCATGTAACAATATGGACGTCAGCTCCCTTTTCGCCTTGAAGAACACGAAAGGGAAGAAGAAGGGTGCGGTGGGCCCGGAGCCGGCGGGTGCTTCCGCCAGGGAGGAGCCCTCCCAAGCTGCTGCTGCCGGTGCTGGTGCCGGGGGATCCAATGGTTCGGGGTCCCGAAGAAGAAGAATTGCGGTAAGGGGATCGAGCCTCCGGCCAAAAAGCTGAAAGTTGCGGCCTCCGGCAAACAGCCGGCCGCTGACGTCGTCGTCATTGTGAATGAGGGGCACGCCTCCGGTCCCATCCCTCAGGAGCACATTAACCAAGACTTCTTCGGCCGGGAGAAGTTGGAGGCAATAGTGCCGAAGGGGGCATCCGTATTGGAGGGTAGCCTCAACCCCTCAGCGCTGATGAGCTAGATGCTGCCCTCGGCCGATCGGATGGACCTCACTAGGATGGACGAGAACTCTCTTGAAGCCAAGATTCTACTGAGCATTGCCTCCGTGAGTCACGCTTCTCCTTTTCCTTTGTATTCGCTCTTGTCTTCGTGTATCGTATGCACTATGTCTAACCATCATCCTTGTTGACTGCAGAACTTCATGGGCCTCTGTGAGTACCTCCGG